CAGTTGTAGTAGAGGAATATGTATATGACGTGTGCCGATTCATTCACTGTTATTTTCATAGTCCCTTCTGTTTGTGAATATATCCACCTCAAATCTCTGCACAGACAGAGCAACTCATTCTGCCACAAAGCCCTTGCACTGCTGTGTAGCTGAAAAGAAAAACAGGGAAGCGTGACTTTCCATTGTCCCTACCTTACTTCCATCCCAGTTTTCAAACTTTGCTATATTGCATGGTTTTGTTGCTCCTCTGCCAAGTAGTGGCAGATTTTTAAGGCCTGCAAGTCATATTTCTGTTGGGAGAAAAATCAGCAGTACAGAAGGATCATATTCCTTTAAGTGACTTGTTTAATACAACTTTGTACTTCAACCCTTTAACAATGAGAAGCCTTTCCAATTTCCAGGGTTTGGGCCGGAATACTGAAGATACTGGGCTAGGCACTCCTCTGGCAGAGGAAATGACTGTTAGAAAGACAAAAGGCACAATGCAGACTTTTCTGCTGCACCCCACAATCTCTGCTCCTGACAAAAGCAGTCTCATTACTAAGAGAACCAGCTGTATAGCATACTTCAGGGCCTGAGAAGTGATCCCTTCAACTTTTGTAATGCTGTGAACAGCAGTGTGATTACTGCCCTAACAGACTAATGACATGACTTGCAGTTTTGCACACTCTGTACAAACTAATTTGTCATAAAAGTAAATCCAAGTTTCTTCAAATACATGTAAGGAAATTCAGTTTCTTGTTCTACAAAGGTTTTTTCTTTTAGTTGCAGAATTACCCTGAATCTCCACTGAGAAAAAAGCAGCTCTGCATTTGCTAGAGTACCTTATTTTACTAAAAAGGATTTTCTAAGTAACATACAGAATGATTTGTGTGACAACATTTTTATTCCTTAGGGATCGATTCAGAACAATGGTGAATGTCTTGGGAGATGCCTTTGGTGCGGCGATAGTGGAGAAGCTCTCTAAACAGGAGCTGGAGCAGATGGATGTCACCTCTGAAGTCAACATAGTCAATCCTTTTGCCATGGAAACAACAGTACTTGATAATGATGAAAAGACCAAGAAATCATATGTCAATGGAGGCTTTGCTGTAGATAAATCTGATGCCATATCCTTCACGCAGACATCTCAGTTCTAAAGCCAGTAGCTTTCAGGTAAAACAGGAGCATTAAAGGACATGGCCATATGCAATATCTCAAAAAGCTTAAAGGATAATTGAGAAGAATTACATCTCACATCGTACATTTGATTCACTACAGTTTCTGATTTTCCTTACCAGTTCAGCCCACTTCTCATCTCCTCTTCCAACAATTTGAACTCACCACTTCTAGTTCTGGCTGATAGGCTGAATAAAAAGGCAGTTGTCAAATATGTTTATTGTGGGGTTTTTTTAGAATGTACACTGTTGCTGAGGCTATGAAATGCCTCTTTGCAATCAGCATGTTCACAACTGGGTATCTTAGCTGGGACAGCCAAATGTGTTTTACTCAGGAGTAGCACAGCATTTCACGTCTTTCCTACATTACACAGCACCTGTATGAAATCCCTTTTAACATCCTTGCCTTCTAAACAGATTGCACTGTACTTCACACCTACTGTAACTTGATCACGTGCCAAAATACTCATTTCTGCAGCTAAGGGGATACCACTTGAGTGATTCAGGAAGGAACAGACCAGAAAGGCCTTGTAATAAGTATTTTACTGTGAACAGGGTTTCATTTTTCCTTAATTGTGAAATAATTGGGGATTGAAGAATTTCCAGTATTTATGTAGCTAGATTTCCCCATGCCTTTCATGTGAATGCCAGCTACTGGGATTGACCTTCAGATGTGAAATAGATTGCTGTAGATTTGCTTTTCTGGCATTTGAATAGTTTTTGTAAAGTGATAATTCACCAATTTAGGTCCGCTTTGATGGCCTCCTATTACATTTCCATTAGAAACAGAAATAAGTCCATTTACTGTTGATAACTGTTGACGCTAACCAAATATTAATCAGCCCAAAAGTAAGCAGAGATCATGAAGGTGAAAATAGACTATATAGCAACGCAAAGTGCAAATTCTAGACTTTTCTTCCTTGGAATAAAACCAGATATAATATCAAGAGATTAGGAGGCATACATTTTTGTAGAAAGAGGGCACTGTCACTAAGGTTTTTACACAGACTGGTTGGTTTTTTGGTCCTTTAGTTAGCCAGTTGAACAGGCAAGTCTGTAGCTGCAACACTACTACAGTGTCAACATGTCAGCTAAACTGTATCTTATGAAGCATTTCCGAACTCAGAAAGTCACGTGTTCAGGTGGCTTGCTACAGGATAAGAAGCACCAAGAACTTCACTAAAAAATCTCCATTTTCTAAAACATTTTACACAAGATTTCCGTGGTGCAAAAATCACTCTCTCAAGGGAGGAGTTGCTGTAACGGATTTTTTTGCCTTGCACATTAAAGTCATTAGCAATTTTATATGTAAAGTAAACTGAAATATACAGTTCTTTGTAAATAAGCTTGTGGTAAACCTAGAATTGCACTCATATGCTAACAAAAAATCCTTCAAGTTCCTGCAGTGTTATATAGTCAATTAAATCCTACACTTCCGTATTTAAATAGATAAGAAGCGTGCCAAAGAGAACTGATTCAGTAAAGATGAAACTATTTACTGTTGGTTTTGATAAATTGCACCTTAAATCAACAAGTCAATGAGACATAATACTGTATTTAAATTAAACATTGTAAACTATATGGAAGTGTTAATCTAAGTATTGGTATGTTTATACAAAATTTTAAAAAATGTACAGATTGAGTAAATCAATCTTTTAACTGTGCAGTAATAGTATGAGACAGCCTTTATTTGTACAGCTTTGCTTATGGGAGGAAAAACCCACTGGTTTCTACAACTAGCCTATAATCTATGCTTTGTTTTTTCTTTTTTAAGTCACCCCTTTACAATCACTCCATTATGTAGTCACTGTGTTATGATGTACTGTGAACAGTGTTCCTAATGTGTTCTAAATAAATACTTTGCCTCTTTACTCGTTTTAGCCTTCCCTCCTCTCTCACTGTAGAATATTGAGTTCCTTTACCTGTAGCAAGAAAGACAAAACTGGTTGAATTTAGGATTTATGTTATCTTCACTAGTGACTCAGCTGTAGCTTTGGCAAAGATTACTCTCCTCTTCCAATAAAATAAATGCTTAAGAGCGCAGTGCTGAGATTGCAAGAAAGCCCTCTAACTACAGACCATCTGGGTTGATAATATACTATTAAACACATGCTAAGCGGGGGGTTAGTTATTTATTCTTTATTTATATGGATCAGATTCTTCAACTAAGCAGGGTTTGATGATGCTGTTTTGCCATGTTTTCACCACCAAGAGACCAAACCATATACTGAAGATACTGTTAAGTGCAAGGATGCTTTTCCTGACACAATAATCTGAGTATGTACCTTGTGTATATGTGGAAACATCCTGCATGGGCAAGACATCCTCTTCTCCACAGCCTCCTGGTCTGGAAGCTTTGAGGACTGGTGAAGAGTCTCCCATCAGAAAAGAACCTGCATGTTTTGGCCCTTTATACCATGTTGTTATGTTCTTGTAGGATCTCTGAGGCTGCAGAAGCTATCACAAATTGAACCTTGCATTTTGAATAGCATGTGTGGCTTTAAGTCATGGAAGACAAGGTTACTCATTCATGCATTCAGCTGAAATACTCGGACTTGTAGCTGGCTCTTAACACTGAGAAAAGAAAGCATAAACATACACAGGTCTGTCAGCAGGCATGGGTCAGCTATGTAGGCTTAACAAACAGCATGAAAACAGTCATGACATGTGCAGTTCTCTTGATCTCTACTCTTCCCTGATAAGAACAGAAACTGCCCAGTTTGATATCTTCAAAGACAACCAACCACTTGCCCAAACTCATGGTTAGGTCCCTTCCCTAAATTACAGTTTCAGGCCCTCTTTGACTGTGTACAATGTACCTTAGAGCGTCTCCTGTTACCCAGCAAGTGCAATGCCAAACAGTGGAGCACGCACAGCTGAGGAGAGCTGCAGCCAGCTGGAGTTTTCCCAGTTTTCCTTTTTCCATGTTTTCTCACTGCAGCTTTTCCTTTCCCAACACCTGGCAGCACTTGGCGGATTGCAGAGCACAAAGAAGGCCAGATTGCCAGCCAGGGCACAGCAGGTAGACCAGGCAAGGAACAGCAACCAAGTCACAGCACCTTGACCACCAGACCAGTATTGCATGCTGAAAGTGCAGAAAGTGCATTGGGGAAAGGCCATGGCCTGTTTATATACTCCTGGAAGGAAGTGTCTCCATAGGCTGTTGGCAAAGGTGAGGTCTAACTAGTCCTTATAGGGTTTATCAAATTTCCACTGTTCTTGACAGTCTCAGTTGGCCCCAAAAAAAACCTGTGTCACCACCACCATTCAGAAAAACATGTGAGGAGGAAGGAGCAGCAGAGAAGAGCTGTTACACACTGACCCTAATCCCCATTCCCCATCTCTCTGCACTGCTCAGGGTGGGCTGGAGGTAGAGAAGTCAGCAATGAAGGAGTGAAGTTGAACCTGGGAAGAAGGGGAGTTGGGTGGGAAGGTGGTTTAGATTTGTTTCTCACCATCCAACTCTGTTTTAAATTTGCATTAAATGAAATTAATTTTCCCCAAGCTGAGTGTGTTTTCCCTGTGACAGTAATTGTTTAGTGATCTCCTTGTCCTTATCTCAACCCATGAACTTTCCCATCTTGTGTGAGAGCAGCTGGGTGGACAGCTGGCCCACTGGTCAAGGCTAACCCCCCACAATGATATATAAATACATAGAATTATAAATAGAAAGGAGTTTATAAATGTTTGTTTTATTTATTTATACATAGATACACTATACACTGTACTACATGATATAGGTTCTACTACTGTCCTGCACTGTATAATAGATAAGCACACATTTATCAAGATACAGAAATATATGTAGCCCTAAAAGCAAAGGTACAAAATGGGTAAAACATTTTTTAGTAAGAGCTAATGCAATGAGTAAGCCACACTGGGGTCCTGCACTTTAGCAGGCTGCAGAGCAAGCACCACATGTCTGGGATTGGGGGACCTGAAAAGGGCAAAGGAACACCAAAAAGGTGGAGGGGCACAGATATGGAATCTGCCTGAAGGCTACTGACCCCTTTCATGCAGCCATCAAGGAACCACTGGTGCAAATCATGTCACATGCAGAGACCAATCCTGTGAGCTGGACTGAGAAGGAGAAAACCTTAAGGGAATCCCCCAAACAGCCATGTCAACCAGAAGAACCGGCAACTGGGCTTGTGAACCACAAACTGGATGTGGAGGTGTCACACAGAGAGGGCAAGTGGCAGGGGTACCTCTCTTCCTCCATGGTTGTGAGGGATCTTCTAGCTACCTGTAAGACCACTATGGGGTGCTGGTATATGTTGCTTTATCCTTAGGTCAGTGATCTTACAAATGTCACCACTACACGCATCTTGCAGAGCACCAACTTGAGGGGGATTTTGTGATTCCATTATTGCTCTGTGTTCAACCAGTAATGATGATAATGAGATCATTACAGTGACATATGATAAACTGCACTATATGCTGGTAGACCACCAGCACAATAGCACAGCATTGAATTAAAGATTGACCAGCACAAGCATGTCTCTTTTCACCTTGGGTAAGTGGTTGTGAACTGCATCTTCAGCCCTTGAAGTGACCAATATTTTAAGAAACCACACCAAGATGGTGGTGGTAAAAAATTATGGGGACCCATCATTGCACATGAATTATTACAGAGCCCGAGCTGGCAATGTTCTCCCTGGTTTTCAAGGGAGAAGCGTGGTGTGGGTGTTGCAGGTATATTCTGCAGCCTGTTTATAAAGTAAACTGAAAAGGGGGTTTGAAAATTAAAAGCACTGCTCAAGATGCTGCAAAATATGTTTGGACACATTTCCAAGGTTGTCCTATACAAGTTGGAAATGCCGGCAAATCAGGAAGGCTTGGTACACTAACTGCGTGACACATTGGCACAGCACACAGGAAAGGAACAGGAGGGAAGAAGACACTGTACCGCACATCTACTCCCATTTCAGGATTGACTAATCCAGCTTAATACTCTAAATATATAGAAGTCTTCTGGGACTCCTGCAGACCCAGGAGCATCTGTACTCACACTCTTTTTCTGGTGTATGCTGGTTAAATGAAAGATTTCTCTTCAGAGAGCCTGGCCCTCAACCTCTCCGCCTTTTCACATACTCTAT